AGTAGGCAGCTTTATAGAAAATGTACTAGTTTTTTTAAGTCAACGAATTTTGCAACTATAAAGATAAATTGTATTTATATATTTAACTGCATAACATGAAAAGGTAAAGAGATTTCTCGAGCTCTTTCTATGAATAAAAGATAAGATAGCAAAATAATTTTATTTTTTGTTATTTTTCGAATAAAATAACACAAAAGCTATAAAAAAAAAAAAAAAAAAAAAAAACTTAAAAAAGCCGAAACTAAAATATCCTTAAAAAAAAAGTTCCAAGAATAAAACCAACAGAAAATATAAAAAAAAAAAAAAAAAACTATATAAAACGAATTTGTAATTATGAAAGATTAAAGAACATAAAGTTTTTTTGTTAATTTGAATTTTATGTTATATTTTGTTATACTAATGCTCTTATATCTGAAGATAGGGGTCGTCCATAAAGCACGTACCCCCCTTTTTCGCCAACGCCCCCATCCCCCGCGTTTTGCCATACACTTTTTTGAGTACCCTCTACCCCCTAACAGTACCTACGCTTTTAACTTACTAACCCAACATTTTATGATATTTTTTTTAATTTAGTGTCTCCATACTTTTATAATTGACCTACTGCCCCCTTATCTCAAAAACGCTATTTTCAGACCCCCTCTTTCTCTCCGAGCGTACGTACTTTATGGACGATCCCATATTGTTGGCTTCCCAGGAAAAGAAGTTCTATAGAGTTTCTATAATATTTTGAAATATATGGTCTATACAAGTTCTATAGATTTTCTATAGAAATTGCTATAAAACCCTTCTTTTTATATACCTATAATATATATTACTAATATATGTACAAAAAAAATTTCTATTGGAATTTCTATAGAAATTAACAGAGATTCTATAGAAATTTGATTGAAATCTATAGAGTTTCTATAGGCCTTAAGTTTTAAAAGTTTATAGAAATTTTATAGAACCTTTTTCCTGGGTTAGCATAAAAACAGCCACAAATAGTCATAAAGACTAATTCAAAGTAGAGTTGTCCAACGTTTTTGCGTACCGAAGTACGCTAAGTTGGCGGTGACAAGGTTTGAACTCGTATCGCATAAAAGTCCAGATTTTAACTGTTCGTTTAAAGCTTTAATTAACTGAGCTATCCAGTCACAAATGACACTTTCAAATGAATAGTTAGAATACTACTCCATTACCCTGCCTAACATTTTTAGTTAGCAATATCATTCTAAACATCGTAATTCTAAACAACATCCTCTATAAATGTAACTAACTGCTCAATTATTACCTTATCGAGTGACTCTATCAATGTAAAAATTACTATTACAATCCTAAAAAGTTGTTGTTTACCTACCCTGTAACATTTAACAGTCCTTACAATTTATATTTAAGTCCCCAGAAATCCTGTTTTTAATATTTTGGTCATGTAACCCACAGTTGTCCAAAAAGGGGTCCTAACCTCTTCAAAAATGACCCAAAAAAGGTAATAGTGATTACTTTGAAAAAAAAATTAAAATCTTTAAATTACGTCTTCAGGAGAAAATTGCATTTTAAAGTTTCCGTCTAAATACACCTAAAAACCTTTATTTTAAAAAAGTGTTTGCAAAAAAAAGTTAAAAAAAACTTTTTTTTGCCTTAAATTATAAAAGCATTACAAACTAATATCCCTTCAATTCAAAACCATGTTTTAATAATGAATATTTTTATATACATTACATTACTAGTATATTAATATACAATATAGATACCAAACTTCTTTTGATTTTTTAGTAGGGTAAAAAATATAAGTTAATATTAAAATTTTATTCTTAACCATGGCATTCTTTAAAACAACTTTTTTCAAAAAAGATGTGCATATATTTCTAAATATATATATATATATATATATATATATATATATATATATATATATATATATATATATATATATATATATATATACACACACACACACACACACTGAATAACAAAGTAGCTTAAACCAATACAAATTTGAGACTGTAAATAAGTCATTAAACACACAAAAGTATACTCTGACTGAGATTTTTTTCCTGAGAGATTTTAACCAACAAAAATGTAAATTTAAATGTGTTTGCTGTTAAGATCAATAACATAAATCAGAAATTTGTACCCATATTCAGGATGAGAAGGTTGCCTTTTAAACCTTTGCCAGTGGATCTTGAATTTGGAATGCATCAATTCAGTGGTTTGCTCACTGAAAACTCCGAGCCCAGTTTCATTTTTTTAAGCAAATTTCATAATGTGATGAATAATTGCATGTGCTTTGGGAGTGACTGAAATTCCAAGAGCTAAGTAAGAATGCTTAAATTCTGAAATATTTTGAACGAATCCTGTCTCTAAGATCTTTCCAAAACAAGATTTTTCAACAGATTAAAGCTTTCTGAAGCAATCAACAGAAAGGATTGCTTGCAATGCACAATGCTTTTGGACAAGACTCTGAAGAATGTCAAAATTCTTCAACAGTTTGTTGCATTCATTTCCATTGAACTGTCCCCCATGATATGCTTGCATTTGAAGGTGCAATAGATTCTGCCATTCTTGTGCTTGATCCCATATTTCAAGGAGTTGCTTGAAAATATGATTGAAGATTCCAAGAAAAAGATGGAGTTCCATTGGAGGAATTGCATCAAGAATAAGCTCAGATTGCCTGTAGGGGTTAATTAATGGGGGATGGAAAACATAATTCTTAGCCAACTGAAGTTTTGCACCTGAAGAGAGAAATCCAGCATAGTTGTTGCATAAAGAACAAAATGTTCTTAGTTGGCCAGAGTTTGTAAGGTTATTAGACTCGACATCACGCCACCAACATGGGTGTTAGTTAGAGTGAGACGAATACCATATAAAATGTTGGCTACTTTTATGTCACAAAATTATGTAAGACACACCTTCAAGTTGTATGAAGCCCTAAGATTTTCATATGTTTCAGGAATACCTTCTGCTGCAGCAACAACAAACTGTTTTTTTACAACACCATCCTGGGCAGAAGAACGTGATTGGAGACATGATGATCCTTGAGTATAACTTTGCTTGGAATATGTATCAATTACGATGAGGATTATTTTCAAAAATGAACCACCTCCATCAATTCCAAGTTTAATTAAATGATGTAGTGTAAGTCCTCTTACTGGAAGAATATGTAATTATAAATATGGTTGATTAAGGCATTTAAGTTTTTGCAGTAAACAGCTTTTCGAACTTGGTTTTCCATTTCTTGGTCCAGTATTACAACATTTGACATCATGAAAATTTGCTAATTTTTTCTAGAGGTTGTCAAGTTCTTGCTTCACATTTGCATCTACACCTCTTTTTTCCATTGAGTTATTAAGAGCTACTGCAAGCTTTTTCACACCAACATTGGAAAGATTTATACTATTTTGAACATGGACCAATGTTTCAGCAGTAAATAATTGCTGCTTGTACTTCGCTGAATGTCCTGGCAGAACTTTTAATGAATTTTCTCCACTTGCTCGACTAAGTTTGACAGTACCTCTTGGAGAGGCATCTTTTTTAGAAAGAAAATCAGCTGCTATTTGTTCAGCACACTTATGGTCCTCTACAGCAAGTTTCTGTACATTTTCCCGCCTTGAACCTATAGTACTAAAGTGTGGATGTCCTTTCGCAAGTACTGACAAACATATACTGCATCCTTTATCAGCTGGCTGTGACGATGAAGGTTTGAGACTGAAAGCTTTGATATGGTCAGTTTCAGCGTAGACTTTTGTTTTTTGATTCAATATATGAAGCTTAATCTGTGGAAAATTTTCTTTTGCTTTGATTTGGCCACCCTACAAATTATACACTGTCAAGCACCAGAATACCTTGTAGATGGCTTATTGATAATTGAATTGAAATTGTACAAGTCTGGTATCTGTCCAATAATACTAACAGTATCAAGTCATTTTAGTTTGCTTCTACATGAATTGCAAATGCCAGTTGGAATTTTCTCATCATTGAAATTAACATTACACTTAAAAATATTCATGACTCTTTCAATCAAAAAATCAGTTAATACACAATCACTTTTCTTCAAACATAAAAAGCGAACAGATTTTCTGCAATTACCATGTGTTTTTGCTGAATTGGGCATTTTTTGACAAAGAAAAATTAAATTTTAACAGAAGTTCCAATTTATTTGTTTACATTATTTGAGCGGGAAAAATTGGCGTCAACATATTTCAATTTTATTGTTTTAAATTTGAATTTTTAACAAAGAAGGAAAAAAAGTTAAACAATAAGTTAATTCAATGTTGTTTAGAGATATTTGCAACATTTAAGACAAAACAAAAGGTTTTTTACTGACTTTTAGCAGTGGAAACGCATTTTGAAAACGCATTTTGAAAACTTAGTAAAAATTAGGCAAAAACTTAAAATGCAATTTTCTCCTGCAGACGTAATTGAAGGATTTTAATTTTTGTTTCAAAATGATCACCATTCTCTATAGAATCACCCCTACAAGGACTTTTTTGGGTCATTTTCAAAGAGGTTAGGACCCCTTTTTGGACAACTGTGAACCAATAACGCGATAGTGATTGCTGATGATCACCAATGAAAAAAAGTTCTAGAATTTCTATAGAACCTCTGTTAATTTCTATAGAAATTTCTAAATAATTTTTTTTTCTATTTTTTTTTCTATAGGAAAAAAGTTTTATAGCAATTTCTATAGAAATTAATAGACATCTTATAGAAATTCTATACAATTTTTATAAGGCCATATGTTTCAAAAGATTATAGAAATTCTATAGAACTTTTTTTCCTTGGCAAACTCAATAAACAGTTAAGTATCAATCATATAAAACAAAATACGTCTTTATTTTTTTTAAAAAGATATGAAAAATCATTAAACCTGTAAAAAAGACAAAAAAATATAAACAATAATTTATTATAAGTAATGAATCAATCTATTATTAAAAAAAATTTAAACAAGTCTTGAAAATTGCAATAACAAAAGTAGAAAAAGTAAATATTTTTATAAAAGTAATTTGATAAGTAATTTAAAATGTTAATTATTGCCTGGTATGAGGAGTCAGTTGAGCAAAAAACATGCTATATTAAGAAACTTATTAAAATTATTCATCGATTTTCACTGTTAAAAATATTAAAATATTTAACTACGTTAACAATTATGTGTTATAAAAAACTTATTTCAAATAAATAAACACTGAACTAAAAAATTTGCTTAACAAATATAACAAGGGAATGTATCCGTTTATGTCACTATTAAAATTATTTTCGAGATAAAGCAATGCATTGTTTACTCATTGAACACATCGTGCAACAATAACATCTCTCATACATGGGAACACCAACAACAGGTTGTTTAAGAGAAATAAATTGTCCACATAAATAACATTTGTCTGTATCAGGGGCAGTGAACTGTTTATGTTGCTGACACAAAAATGCTAGACTTTCGTTGTTTTTCCATGGGCGGTAAGCACCACACACAATGCATAAATCTTTTGTTGGAAGTGGTTTCTGAGTGAGTTCCTTTGCTTTTATACTGCAAATAAAACAACAATGAACAGGATGCTTGAACGGATTATTGCCCGGATGAATAAAGTTTGCACATCTTAAACCCTAAAAAATCATTTACTAAAATTAATATTTCATAAAGTTAACATTAATCGGTTGAAAACGATGAAATTTAGCATCCTTTAATTATTAATTACTCGAAAAAGGATTTGAAGAACTTGTTTCTTTGGGTACAAATTCGTTACCATTTTTTTCATACCATTCTAGAAATTTCTTAGAATAGTTGACTGTAGGCAAATCACGCTAAAATATTGAAAGCATATCATGCTTTTTAATAAATGGCAAAAGGCGTTTCTTCGCGTATTTTTTTGTAAACAGAAACGCGTTCAAAGTATTACTAGTAATGTATGATGCATTTTTCAAACTACATAAGCATATTACTTGCAAAGTAAGGAATTACAATATAAAGGAGCAAATTTATTAGTTTAAATATACTTGAATATTTTGGCGACATATCTACTTTTAGACTGATAAAAATATTGCTGGCCTTGCAATTGTGAAAAATTCTTTTTGCAATAGGTTCATCGAATTCAGTAATACACAATTGTTATAGGTTTAAAAGTTTATATAGCTTTTTTGATGGATATATAGCTTTAATTTCTCCATCAATAGATCACTTTGGATTTTTCTTTTAATGATATGCTTTATGTTCTTGAGATTTAAGTACTTTTCCTATCAAAAATTAATTGCGTTTAAATTTTCCTGCAAGATCTCTATGTGACTGAAAAGAATTAACCTTTATTGAGCGAATGATAGATTTTGCTTTATACTTATCTTTAAATCCTTATTATTTGCACTTCCATCATCTCTTTTAATAGTTTGATTTTGTTTATATTGCCGCAAAATAAATCCAAATGAGGATCGAGAAACACCAGTTATTTTTGAAGTGTCAACTTGTGATAATGGAAGATTTTGAAAACTTTGTTTTGACTTAATATTTGTTTAATCATTTTAATCCGATAAAAATAATAACCAATACTCCTTATATTTAGAATCCAACAACAGTGCATTAGTTTTTGTGCACAAAAAAAATTAAAATAATTTGTCTAGTAATTTTTGATTAATTAGCGATTAAAGGGTGCTGAATTTCATTGTGTTTAACTGATATAAAACAGATTTTATATAAAATTTATTTAAAATGTAAACAAATTAAAAATATAAATTTAAATTTTGATAACTATATTTTTGTGATTTTATTAATTAATGTTGTAAGTTTATTAAATAATGCTGCATATTAAAATGATTTTTTATAAATAAATATTCATTGGCATATAAGGATGGTAGATTGTAGACATATTTTAAAATCATTGTTATTATTATATTATATTATTATCAAAAAACTCACAGAAAAGATTCTACTTCTTTCCACATCAGATATTTGTTGACTTCTCACATCTTTGCGTAAAAATGAAATAATTTCCTCAGTCATGCCAGACTTTTTAAAATGAAATATAATAGCAGATGCTGTTCTATAGTCATTGGCACCGTGTTTCAAAAAATATCTCCCAAGCACTTTGTGATGTTCTTTAACATTATTTTCTTCTTGCAAAAATGTTTGAAAAACAACCTTAAAAAATTGGAAATAAAATGTATGAGCAGTTAGCTTTGTAAATTAACTGAAAAATCCATTATTTTAACTCATACCCACATAAACACATACATACATATACATATAATGTGTATATACATTAAATACATACATACATACATACATATTTACCACATAATCTTAAAACTGGGGTAGGAACAAGGGGTGAGAATCTCTCCTCCCCCCCCCCAAACTTTTTTTAAAACTTTTTTCCATTCAAATTTTGGATCTGGCTGCCTTAGCCCCCCCTCCCCTTTATTTTTGAAATTACCACACCCAACATGTTTTTCTACACAAGGGTGATTTCGAAGTTAAGGGTTGAGAGGGATTTACCACTTAAAAAATAATAATTCTTGACAGTAGTCAAGTCAAGGATGTCCTTAGGCTTAGGTATGTGAACCAAATTTAATTGAAAAAAAAAACATTTTCTCAAGAAAAAGGTATAAAGTAATCATTTTTAGATGAATTACAATCTGCTCTGCTTTGGTTTTTAGTTATAATAAAATGTCTCTTTACTTGACCATAAACTATTTTTGATACCTCTGATACAAGCTTCACGGACCTTAAAACTGACTGAATTGTTGGATAAATCCGTAAGAATAGATTTTTTAGAAGTTTGCAAAGCATTCTCTAATTCAAACGATGAAATTAGGATAAAAGTTGAAGGTTCAACCTCAATTAAAGAAACATCAACTAAACTACTCCATGTATCAGTGTTAAAGTTAATATGCATTTAGCATAAAATTTAGCTTAATTAATTTAGATTTGACTACAAAATTTACTTCTCTTGATTGCGTTATGTGCAAAACTTGCTTAATAGCTTGAGCCCTTATATCTTTTTCATCATCTTGCAACATAGAATATAAAAAGATTTTTTGAAGACAACAATAAGAGTTTCCTTGAAGATTTTGAAAAACAATTTGTTGTATATTGTCTGCCTGATTTTTAACAAGCTCTATTGTCTTATGAAGAAGTATAGGAACATCTTTATAAAGACCAGACCTTATATGGATAAACCACATGGAGCAATATACTTGGACTATATACTTTGTAATTGTATACAAACACAAGTTATCTGTAGGATTTTTTACTCTCACAAAAACCATCATTATTATTAAAGCCATATGGTATGGTAAACAGGTCCTGGTTTTTTCATTGAATATTTATATATAAAGCCTTTAGATATTCCAAAATATTCGTAAAGTTTATGCTGATCTGTACTAAGATCAGATAAAATATTAGAGTTTACTATGGAATCAATCTCTAAATGAATGAAATCTCTGAATGAATTTGAACAAAATCTATTGGTAAATCATGAAAACCAGAAGCTTTTTGACCAATAGGGCCCTTTCTTTGGATTGTTACTTTTACCATCTACTTCAGCTATAACATGGCAAAGTGGTAACTTATTTTGGTGAAGTACACATCCTATTAAATGGATTCGTTGGTTTTAAAGCTTTTCTAATGTCATAATTAAGCAATTATCTGCACCAGTATAAGCAGAAGTATTATTCAGAACAATGGCTTCCAAACTACTAATGCTGTTGTATTTTTTGAGTATTTTTAGTGTTTCGGTTGCCATTGTAATTCCTGTTCCATTTTTTATTTCAATATGAGTTAAATATTTTTTCGAAAAAGGTCTCTGCAGTAAAAGTTAAGAGATGTTCACCCTTACTTGTTCTATTAATAATAGGTTCTGCATAATGATCATATCCTAATATATGTGCTAATGTATTTTTGTCTTTTTTACTATCTACTCCAATGACTTTCAAATTAAAAACTTAAAAAATGTGTTTTTCACTAACCATGGTTAAAACACGCTTTTTAGTGTCAAATATCTTTTTTTCAGTGATAATTTGTGATCTGTTATTCTGAGTTGATATGGCAAGTGTTGCAGTGACACTTAATTCGAACCTGATAAAAAACTTACCACTGTGTAAAAAAAATACATAGATTTAACAAACAAAAGCTTTGGTAATATTAGTTAAATCTGTGTAATTTTACAGTGTTTGGTTTTACACAGTGGTTTGCACTCATGATTCTGATTTTTATAATCATCATTGTTATCTATTTCCACATCATAAGTTTCACTGATACAATCATTATCTGAATGAAGTGCCGTGTCACTTGTTATTAATTTTTCACTTTTTTTAAAATTTACAAAATTTCTTTGGCAGGAGAACCAATTTTTTAGTTGTAATGATTTCTTTTTCGACCTTATAGGCATATTGAATAATCTGTTTATATGTTGGGAGGTCACTCACAGGTACTTCCTTTGGTTGCCCAGCATATCTTTTACTTTCTAGTCTAGTTAAAATATTGTGTTTTCTTTTTTTTGTTGGTTGCCCAGATCCACATTTTGCATTAATTTTTAATATTTAAATTTAGTCTGAAAATAATTTTTTATAAATTATTATATAATATAATATTATGTGAAAATACCTTCAAATACAGAATCTAATTATATGGCTAATATAAA